CGGTCAATCCCACTATTCGTTGGTAAAAGAGTAGCCCAAGAGTTGGCGGTGGGTGGTGATGAATAGCTGTCTTCCCTCTAGTCTTACACTGCTAAATTAGAGACGGCTAGCGCAGATAGCTTTCGTGTAGCTTTGCGCGAAATTCAAAAACAAACAAACAATTGTCAAATTGCACGGACGTCAGATAGAGCATGACAGTACGTGATAAAATTTACTGTAACACCGTGGTGGGGCTCCAGAATTATTTTACCATAACATATTCATCCTCAGTATAACTAACTAGCTAGTTAAACTCAAAAGTGATTAATGTACATTAAATTATGCAGTAAGAGTATTTTGTGGTAAATTTTTGTAATGTTGTAGCAAATGTTTTTTAACTTCTACTTATATACAAATGTACGAGTTGATACACAAAGTAAGCTTTAGTTTCAATACTTGAAGAGTTTAAAATCAAAATTATATATACATATATGCTTATTGTATACAGAAATTATTCAAGGACAACAGTTACATGAGCCAATAAATTTTATGAAAATTAAGAAATAAAGTGTTGATCAAATGAAAAATAAAAATAAATCCATAAAATGAATATAAATATTTTGAAGTAACAGCTGTAGAAATAATTTTTACTTCTAATGCAGAACAGTCACTCTTCTTAATTTGGTCTAAATAGCTTATATTATGAGTGTGTATTTTTACTGTTATGTACCCTATTATATTGCATCAACAATTTTTGCTAATTCTCTTTATATTCACTATATGATAGTGTCCGTAAGGTTTATTGCTTCGCCAAGTTTCATTTATTATAGCATTTTATGTTATAACCAGATAAAAAGAAAGATATTGAAATAGAATAGTTTATATATATATGTCTGTTTATTATATCAATGAAAATAAGTCAACAATATTTTCTTTTCAAAGTAACAACTCTTTGACGAATAACCTTTTTATGTGTTATTATTTCAGATATATTGATCTGAAAATAAAATTGTTATGCAATATTAATTGCTTTAATACTGTTACGACAGCGGAAGTCGCGCGACGCTGGGAGCATGCGCTGGAGTTCTAGAAAGATCGACGAACCTGTTGAACGTCCTAGCGTTTGCTAGACGCGCGCTATTATTGTATATAAGCGCGGCAAATAAAGCAAGAGAATTAATCGAGACTGGAGTAGCAGATAGAGAGATTGAAGATAATAGACACAATTAATCGAGTCAAGTGAGCGGTAGTGACCGTAAGTAAAGTGCGTGAATCATTGTGAATTATAGTGTGTGTTTAACTTAAAGTGACTGTGGAAATTAAGTGTATTGCAAAATTGAATTGAGAAAGAATAAACTAGTTTTATTTAAGAAAGGACTTGTATCGCTGAAGTTTCTTCGGAAAGAATTTATACTGGAAAATTAACAAACGAACACAGACGTAACAATACATTTATCAGTTTTTAAGACCGTCATATTTGCAGAAATGCTTACACATATTTTCTGTGTGAGTGTATGTTTATGTTTGAAAATGTATTTTCAGTAATGCACAAAAGAAAAAGTAGTTAAAATTATCATAATATATGTATAAACAGTTATATTATTTTACATATTTTATTATATTTATTTAGGAAAAGAAGATTTTGAAGAATTACCTTCCCTGAAGAAGTAAAGTAATTTATACAAGTGGTGATATTTATTAATAAAATGTTTAGAAAACCACAATAAATAACATAATATGTTTAAATAACATATTATTTATATTTTATTTGTTCTTTAATATGTGTATTTATCGTTGGCTGTTTGGTCCGGTGGTTGGCGTGCATAGATTGTAACTTCAAAAGTTCGGCGGTATTAAAATCCTATTATTCGGGCAGACAAGAGTAGCCGAAAAGTTAAACCGGCGGTGGGTGCTATTTATCAAGTGCCTTTCCTCCAGTTTGACAGTTCAAATTAAAGACAGCTGTATGCCAATAGGTATTTGTGAAAATTCTGAAGCAAACAAAATTATACACTTTATTCTTATTTATTTAGCTAGATTAGTATATTCACTTAGAAAAATAATAAAAATGAACTAAACACTGTATTCCAGACAAACACTTATTGGTAAAATAAAAATTCGGAATAATGGATTTCTATTAGGCTTATTCCAAAAATTTATGTATGATAGTTACTTTTCAGACAAACTCATTTTTATCAGCTTTTATCATTGCTTGTTACACATTGAATCAATTGTGTGTTGGCTTATACAGATAGCGCTCATTTCAAAATGGCGTTTAGAAGTGATCATGTACTAGTAGTTTTTAACTTACTAATAAACATAATATACTATTGTAATTCTGAAACATACGCTTTTGACAACAAACTTGGTATTTCATACGAATTTAAAGTTTCTGTTGAAGCTGGAAAAGAAGAGTGTTTTTTCCAATGGATTCCAGCAGGTGCCACGTTTTATGTTGCTTTCCAGGTAAACTTTCGTGTATTACTAATTAATATAATAATAATAAAAGTGGTAGATTTAATTGTAAATGTAAAGCCACTAATAAGTTAGTAACATGTGTTACAAAAAAGGAAGAAAAACATAACACTGAAGATTATTGCAAGTTAATATAATGAATAGATGAAAATAATCCCTGGACATAAAAATTAAAGAGAACTTTGACCTGCAAGGGGCCGCTGCATTATTTAATATAACTTTAATAATGATATTATCAGTGATTCAGTTGGCTGTTGTTACTTTCAGTTTCAGGATGATACATCTTTAAATAATCTGTGACAAGTATACAATGTAGAAGTTGTAGCTGCATTGCACTAAAGTAAAACCTATATGAATTAAAATCATAAATAAAATTCAACGTTAAAATTGGTACACACACAAAAAAACAAAACATTTTAGGCCTATCTATGGCCTTCAAAAAATTGATGACTCTACGTGTTTCGAAACAAATATATGGATGTGACTAATAAACAACAATTGTCTAAAATACACAGTAGCGTATATTTCAGAAAATAATGTATATGCCATTCAATCCTAAGATTGACTATTTATTTCCTTTATCTCCTTTTATACAACTAGGGCAATTTTCATTTCTTTTTAATCATTCACCAATTACAAACTAATCTTAGTATCTAATCATTTGTGAGTCACGGATAAAAAGTTTCCTGAAAAGTCTAAACAACTAACACTTGTATACCATAATTTATATATATATATTTACAGGTAGGAACCACACTATCAGTCTTTCAATTATAAAAAATGTCACTATTATCCACTGACTTTTGAGGAGTAATTTTAAAGGCCGACTTTGGCTCATTTAGAAATAATATTGTTATGTTACGTCTCTGGTCGTTGGTTAATTTTCCGTAGAAATTCTTTCCGAAAAACTTCAGCGATACAAGTCCTTTCTTAAATAAAACTAGTTTATTCTTTCTCAATACAACTTTGCAATACACTTAACTTCCACAGTTACTTTCACTTCAACACACGCTATAATTCACAACGATTCACGCACTTTACTAACGGTCACTACCGCGCTTGACACAATTGTCCGTCTCTATCTCTGCCTCTCTGCAATTCAATTAATTATTTCGCTTTATTTGCCTGCTTATATACGAGAACATAGCACGCCTAGAAAAACCTAGAGTTGCGAGGAACAGTCACAGTATTTCTAGAACTCCAGCGCATGCTCCAAGCGTCGTGCGACTTCCGCTGTCATAACACTGCCGCTTCCTTAGTATTGTTACGACAGCGGAAGTCACGTGACCCTAGTAACACGTCATGCGCTTCTAGAACGTTCATGAAGCCTCGAGAGGTTACTAGATATGCGGTATTCTTGTATATAAGCCGCCAAGAAGTGACGGCAACAATATAATGTGTAATTGAACTGCAGACAGAGATAGATATGGACAGTTGAGTCGAGCACGTGAGACGTTCTTTGTGAATTATAGCGTTTGTTATAGCGTGACTGTGGAAATTAAGTGTATTGCAAAGTTGTACTCAGAAAGAATAAACCAGTTTTATTTAAGAAAGGACTTGTATCGCTAAAGTTTCTTTGGAAAGAGTTTTTACGGAAAATTAACTAATGGCCAGAGACGTGACAAATTGGTGTCAGAAAGTGGGACAAAAAAAAATGGAAACGAGAAGTGGCGAATCAAACTACAGCTTAGCAGATTTGATGGCAGCAATACAAGAACTGCAAAAGAAACAAGAAGAACGAGAAAATAAACAAGGAGAGAGACTACAGCAGTGGTTGGAGGAGAAAGAAAAGAAACATGAAGAGAGATTACAGAAGTTATTGGAGGAAAAGGAAAAAACAAGAAGCGAGATTACAGAAGTTATTGGAGGAAAAGGAAAAGAAACAAGAAGAGAGA